AAAGGCCTATGAATCGAGATCCTTTGTGGATCCATGATGTAAAAGAAAAAGAAGTGTGCTCCTGATTAAACTTCCATAAAATCTAAACGATTATAACAGGAGATAATATTTTAAATAAAAAATAATGTTCTTCCGCTAACCTATAATATAATCAGTATGAAAGAAATAAGAAGGATAAAACAATATATATTTCAAATAAAGGCTACGAGACATAAATAAACGAGTAATGTTAAAGTGTCTAAATAATAAGGATTTAAGGAAGAAAAAGAAAACACAAAATAGCATAGAGCATGAGAGATAAAAAATTTGCGATAAAACATTGAAAATATTAAATAATCATTTCTACTTCTATAAATGCATTCCGTTTTTACGCTACGTAAGGATCAGTTTATCCTTGTTAGTTAACGAATTAAACAAGGACAAATGATGTTAACAAGCTTTGTAAGCCCAAAGCGGAATATACTTATATAAGCATATTTTAAACAATGTTGCAAATTTAAAAATACAATAATAACCATATCCGTTTTAAAACAGATATAGAAATAAATTTTAAAACATTTAGAATTGAACAGATAAAATTAAATAATTTTAAATCGAATAATTCTTAAACTTAAATATCAAGAAATTAAGTAACTTAATTGTCGAAATGACTTTCATTTAAAACCGCTGTCAATATTTTACAAGTATAATGAGAATTTGAAACCTATTCGTAAATTACGATATGGATTAACTCAAGATTAGTAGAATCAGAAGGATAAGATAAAACAGCATTGAACAAAATCGTGAAAAATGAAAGCCAAAATAGCAGAAGTATTTGTTAATGAGATTTCGACAATGTTTCGTCCTTGATTTGTCGATCGATTGAGATGTTCATCACTTCTCATTTTCCCTCGTTAATACCAGTATCAATTACATGAAAATCGATTTATATGTAGATTTCTATCGAGTTGTCGATCGTTATTATCGATATAATTTAAGTTGAACGATGCAATTTTGTTTCTAAAATTCGTCTTGGCTTTTAATCTTTGATATCATCAATTTATACTAGTACTAGATCGCTTACTTTTGAGCCGAGAGAATGACAGTATACATATGTTGTATGTAATGTATGTACTAGAATTGTGTAGTAAGTTATAAGTTAACAGAGTTAAGTAAAAAGTTAAAACATTAATAACTTCTAACTTAATTTAGCCAATTTAAAAAAATTAATTTTTAATTCTTAATTTAGTTACCTTAAAATTTTTAATTTATTAACTTTTTTAAAGTTATAGTATCCTTTATCTATTTAAAAATGCTAAAATTATTTTTTATAAAATATTAAACATTAAAGAATTAGTTTAAAAAAAGCTTAATGATTGTGTGATGGGGGGATGCTTTATGCTAACCTTATTTTATGCCTAATAAGCAATAAAAAAAGAATACGAATTTTTTATTTACTTACAATTTTTAAAGAATGTACAGGCGTAAACAGCACAAAAAAATGTACACTTATCTTAAAAAATACATTTTGTTTTTTTTTATTATAATATAAATACATATATCTTCGTAAAAATACTGAAAATCAGTTTTTTATGATAAAAAAATATCTTTGTTATTTCATGTGTATAATTTACCTATACAATAATTCAGTTTAAAAGAAAGTATTAACTTAATTAAAAGTCTGATATATATGTACGATATGTATGTTCAAAATGATAGAATTTTCTTTACTCGACCGGAAATCCGGCGATTTACTGTGTTTAGTCGAAATTAGCGATCTAGTACTAGTAAATATTTGTATTTGATATTAAAAAAAGTGAAAGTCTCTTCAATCGATGCTCGAAAATTGAAAAGTACATTCATTCGAAATCCCATTTATATGCCACACACACATTGAAAAATATTTTAATAGTTTAATAATAAAATATTCAATGTAATCCCACGAATTAATGATATAAATACCAATTATTGATATAAGAACGTAACGTATCATTAAAAATATGAGAATTAATCATATTTATTTCATTCATAAATATTATCAATAAATAATTATTGTCTTGCTATCAAACAGGGAGAAGTAAGAAAAAACTTTAGCAATAGCATCCTTAAAAAAATACTCCAAAGAGACGCACGCGATTGTAAAATTCTTGCATAAAATATTAAAATGATCTCAAAAGATGACTTTATTTTCTTTGCGCGGTACTTCATAAGTATCACTTAGAGTGATGAAATGAAAACAGATGATATAATGTAGAAAAAAAGTCAAGGAAATAATAAAAGAAAACAGACACGCGTCCGTTTTATTCGTCTCACAAGATATTTGAGACGACCAAGCCCTGAACAAACAAAAGCTTAATAAGGATGAAAATAATAATATACTCAAGAAAATTAAAAACTACATAATTGGAAAACACGATTGCACTTTTATTGTGACGGATCCGAGCAAAATAATTTCCTTGGAGATATAAATTTCTGTTAAATCACATTTGGTATAAGTCAAAAAAAAACTATAAAATAAATATTTTCTCTATAGATAATATAAGTTAAATCATTTTAGTATATGTGTGTGATATTATAAATTATATTCCAAAATGACATAAAGCATTAAATCAATCATGCAGAAGAATACAAACATGATTAATATTAAAATTAATATCAAAAGGTATAAATAATAAAATGACTGATAATTTAATTTATTTTTTGTCTTTAAATAATATTATGGAGCCCGCGCAAGTAATAGATGTAAATAATAAATAGCTGAACGATTACGAGGAGAGTAAACAGTTTAGTGTGCATTAGTCTAACCTTATAATTATGACATCGATTTAGAATTTCTTAAAGAGATAGCAATTACTATGAATAGTGTCTTTTTAGAGATGTTAGGATTCCCAGTTACCTACGTCAAAGTACTAAATTTGTCACGATTAGTATGTGCGACAAGATTCTATGGTCAACGCGTATCTGAGCAATTATACAAATTAATCAACAGTAATGTAGCGGAACAGAACGCTCACATGTTTAACACTTCATTGATCTGCCAATTTGGACATTTTCAGCGATAAATCTCTGAGAACTAAGCAAGCGAAACATCGGCGATTCTACTAATTGCAGCGCTCCTATGGCATTAAAATGGCGATAAAATAATCGAGATTAGCGCCTAATTCCTAAGAGTATCAGTTCAAAATTCGTACCTTCGGAGGCAGTGCTGGAAAGAGACAACACAAATCAAACTTATAAATCTTCTTCGACAATTGGAGTTTATCTGTAGAAATAACTTTCTCGACTCTTTAATTTATGATCTAAGTAAGAGCAAATAAGAAGAATTCGATTATATCCGATTTAACCTTCAACTTCCCTTATACTAACGTTTATATATCCTTCGAATTTGGACTTTCATCAGTTAAGAGAAATTTCATTTTTTCATTATCATATCGTGGAATATATTATAAAAATAATATATAAAATTCTCGTAAACACAATATTACTTGGATAGAAGATTAAAATTCTTAAAAATACTTATATAATATACTCTCCGAAATAAATTATATTATATATAAATTAATCTTAGAAATAAATTAATTATATAAAAATATATATTTATCTATATATATAGGTACACATTTTTGGTGATCATCGTTTCATAAAAAGGTATTAATAAGATAAAATTTCTTACCAATCTCTTATATTAAAAATAAAATATATGAATGCATCTTGATTTGGCAAAAGATGACATAATTTGATAAAATTCTAATTGTAAGTGAGAATTAATATAAACTACGATTTTCTCAAGTAGGACAAATTATTTGTAACTCAACTCACGTAATTAACTATTCTTGCCGTCAACGATACTTTATTTTGTCCTTGTCTTTATCTTGAGAATTGAAAGATTTTATCTGAATAAGATAACTTCATCAATTTCATATTAACCTCTTTAGATCTACGATTTAAATTTAATTTCTCTAGGAAAGTTAAGCACGCTGAAGAATAAACGTTACAGAAAGAACAATTAATATTCTCGCCAGAAGAGAAACTGCACGCTGTACCAATGAGAACAGAAACGAAGATAGAATAGCTATGATACTCTGCATAGAAAGACAGAGTATATATATGTATATATAGCGCTGTCTTGTTCTCCATACGCGATACGCATTGCAGTTAGTCTTTGTCGCCAGAAACCTTAGATAATCGTAAATTTTGACTGAGAGCGACTATTAGAGCGACCCTGAGGGATCAAGAATTAGGAGAGGCAACTGGCTGCCGGCCGTTAAACTGTTCATTCAGTTGGGAACAGCTGCTTTCCATTAGTGGCAACGATTAAAAGTGTCGTATCCGAATTAAGCGCTCCTTGAGAGAGAAGACGTTCATTTAATTAAGATTCCTTATTCGCGATGTAACTACAATCCTAGTCAATCTTGTACAAGTTGCAATCTTGTATCGATTTAATTCTCTCTGGCGTGAGAAGGGTCGATTCGTTTCGCCCCTAATTAAAGAGCTTAGAAATAATACTTTCATCGCGTATGAAGCGATTAATTTCAACAAGACTAAAGTATTACGGATATTCGCAATATTATTTGTTGTTCCCATCAAGAAATTTGTCAGATTATCGACTTTTGAAAGCTCGACAAAGATATAGCCACCAGCATCGCCGAAGAACAAGAATTCCAATCGACAGTCTAGAATTTGGTGCGAGGTCGACCGGGTTGTACTGCGATGCGGTTTCATACCCGGCAATCGATCCCGAAGGTTGGATTCTCTCGCCAAATAATTAGGATCGCGTCGACAGTCCTTACCCCGGCTCACACTCTCGTCTCGTTGTACGGGCTGGACGAGCTCGCGCCCTGGCGACGCTGCCGGTCGGCATCGCCTGGCACGTTGAACACGACGTTCGGCACGGTCGTCGGATCGACCGGGGCTGGTTGATAATGCGACCGACGGGGTTGTGATTGGTGAGAATGGGAGGAGGACGAGGGCGCGGTCTCGTTTATGGAGGTAATCGAGGCGAGTATACGTCGACCGCGTACCTGGTAACGTTGGGGGTAGCAGCGCCCGCAGCAGGACTGCAGCAGGCCGCCCCTGGAGGCAGTGCTGTGCGCGGGGGAGGTCAGGGGCGATGGCGAGCCCGGTCTCTTCGGAGCGCCGTTGTACGGCACCTCCATCTCCACGAATTCGCGGTCCTGGAAAAACAATAACAGACGGGGCTTTTAGACGAGAAAGCTTCATCCATTTCAGAGTATTTGAGATGTGAAACGCTGAAGAGAGAAGAGCCATGCTGTAGGATCAGTGACATTAATGATATTCATTGAGCTGTGAAAGGTTCAGATAAGAAATGTAAAAAATGAACTAGATGGGAATAATAAAAGAGCTGACAATGAGTTAAAGTTAAAGGACGAACGATAAAATAAGAAAAATTAGAAAAAAATGGAAAAAGAGCAAAAAGAATGGAAAAGATAAATTAAATACGTTGTGTATTTGTTGGTATATGTAAGGCTCGAAAAGAAGAGTACTAAAGTTTATTGATGGAGATGTTAAAAAAGTCGTATGCCGTTGACATAGTGAGTAGCGCAACCAAAAATAACGAAAAGAATAATTGGATTGGGTAGAAGACGTAATAAGAAAAACTACGACGTGTAGAATCCTTCTGGTTCCATTCATCTTACGAAAAAGAGTAAGTAGTTGCAAAGCTGAAAATACTATACCAATTTTCAAGTGAAACACATTAATTAGGACACGTCGTATTACTGGAAAGCTTTATTTGAACCATGCAAGATAGGACGTTGGAAAACACTTTCGTTAAAATATTTGACATGCTGAAAAAATGATGAAGAACCATTATTACTTTGTCAATATCATATCTGTCTACTATGAGATATTAAAAATCAGTGTGTTCTCGAGTGCATTATAATGGGAATACATCCATAATTTACCACATCATTTTAACTAATTATATATATTATAATATTATTACATAATCAATTATAAATTATTTTATCTTTAAAAATTGCTTATCGTAAAAGCAAAATGATTAATCGCCTAATTGGATGTAAAGCACTGCGTAGCATCACGAACATATTATTAGCAGGCTTTCAGCATAATCACATCTCGCATTTTCTCTGACAATGTAATAAAAATTTCCTCTAATATAAAATTTCGCTGACGTATTTTTCATTAAATTTTAATTCCTAACAAATGTAATAATTTCTCGCTAGAGCTAACTAAAAATTAATTAATCCACAATGCCGCTTTCGCGTCGAGACAGGGGACGCGCAGCAAAGCTGCATTTCTCAACGCGTTGTCGTCGCTGACCCAAGTTTGGTTTACCATGTATTGTTTAATCTATGTACGAAGTTGCTGGTTAATTCAAATTAAACTGAAACGAAGAAGCAGTGCGCCCGTTCTGCTGTTGCTCTGTTTCACACTTGTATTTCGTCCGCGGTACGAACTTCCGCTTGAATTACGTCGTATACATATATTTCGCATTAATTTGAGGTGGCTAATATTCTAATTACTGCTCATTATCACATGAATAAGCTTAAACCAAATGTGTGCTGAAGGAAATAACAATAACCAACGTTCAACTCTCTCTATTAAGTAAATCCATTGATTTCTAATCATATAAATAATAATTAGTCTCCCATCGAAATCTCCCCAGCTAGTCATTCATTCAAAAATTTAATTTATATTTTCAATGTGTCGTGTATTCAAAATATATTCACAAAAAATATTCACAGAATTTTCAAATATTAATGAACCGTTCAAAATATTATATTGTGTGAACATTTCTCTATACATCACAAAAATCACTCGATCATTCACGAGCAATATGCATCCCCGCTAACAGAAAACCGGCGTTAACAAATAAAAATCACCTGAAAAGGGATATGAAAAGTGCAGCATTTCTCCTGTAAATAGAGTCCACAAAATTGAGCTCTAAAGTAAAAGTAAAAAATATGTCTTTTATAACAAAATTTTATTTAAAAATTAATTTAATACTAGATCTAGAATTTTTAGAAAATTTTTGATTGTTTGATTGTTAACGAGAATTTTTTGATTGTTAACGAGAATATATATTGTTTTTTGTGATTTCGCATTGATAACAGCGAGTTTACTCTCATTAGCCTTTTTATTCTTTGTATTTGAAATTTTCGAGAGTCGATTTTTATATTTAATTTTTTTATTTTTAGAAAAATTATAGTTTTACCAAATATATATAAAATATTCTCTAAATATATGTAACGATGTATGAATACAATTTTTAACGATTACTTGAATGTTACTCTTACATTCCGTAAATATTTCAGAATATTCCGGGATACTCTGAATGTTATTTTGAAATATTTGAAATATTTTACAAACATATTTTTTAGAAATGTTTAGCGTTAGCTAATCCATTTTGACATAATTTTCTGAACTTTTCAGTTAGCTAGAAATACGTTTATTTGACATGATAGCATCTTTCTATATCATTTAATTTTTCACTTATCGTTTATCAAATGATGTTAAGACAAATGCTAAATGGAAACGTAATTCGCGGTTTTGTGGGAAAAAAAAAAATGTGCATGTAAAAGATAAAACGCAACCGTGTTGAAAATGAATTCTATTCTGAATTTCTGAATCTCTCAGAACTTGTGTTTCAATATCTTTCGCTCTGATTCCTTTTCTTCCGCTTTACTTCATCTTTATTTTTATTTTATTTTTTATTTCGCACGACCTGTTATTATTGGAAAATTGTTATTTAAATTATTTAAAAAGTTTGGATAGATACGAAAAGGAATACGCGTAAAATATGTGCGTGAAATTCTGGTCCGTATAAAAACGAGATGTCTTGAAGAAATCCTGTGGAAACTTGGATCGAGAGGTTATCGAGTGATCTCAGTGTCGCTTGAGTGAACGTCGCGTTCTTGGATGCTGCACGAAAGGATATTGCTCGTACAGAATGGAGCAGTGAGCCTCGATCCCTTTTGCGATAAATGCGCTCGAACAACTCGACGAGGTCCGCGTGAACTGGCAAAAGCTTTTGTCATGCCGGCCATGCGATAGATGACGATCGCGGCCACGATAACTGTTCCCTCGCCGTTTGCATAATTAGTAGATTCTGTGTACGCTACCGCACTGTGTAATCATTATAAGATCGTTCTGCTAATCTAACAAAACGATCTTATAATAACGTTGACAGAATATACTTATATATTTTATATATAAAATTTATATACAAAACTGATGAAAGATAGAAAGCGTAATACTGATGTCCTGGTACATTAATATGCATTGGCGACACAAAAGAAGATAAAATATTGATTAAATGACCAAAAATTCGATATGCTTCAGTAATAAATAACAAACTGTATAGCATTAATATAAACAAAAAAGAAAAAGAAAGATGCAGGCCACTTTCATGAATTCACTTCATTTACATATCATGTCGAGTGAAGTGTTGTCTACCATAGTTACAAAAAGGAAATATCACATCATAGATGCTTTATCAGCTCTTCAAAGGATTCTCTAAGGAGTCATGCACGACTTTGAAAGCTACAGATGGCTCGCATTTGAGCGAACTCGATCTTGGAAAACTACAGGATTACTCGCGAGAGACTGACCGTATTTCAACGCATAGACCTTTCAGAGATACGCGATTTGTCCTCGTAAACCTTCATCGTTTGAACCAATGTATTCTAATCCCTCGCAAGAGTTCCGTAATTTATACAAGGAATAATATGGAAACATCGTTTATAATCTGTGTCGCAAAATTTACTGAAACAATTTCACAATACAAATATTATTCAAATTTAAACTATTTGAACTATTTAAAAATGAGAGAGAATAAAGGACAACACAGAATGAACAACAATTAGATGTTATAATATTAAAATGTATATGTAAATTATATCAGTAAAATGGAATATTTTGACTTGATTGGTTCTATGTCTGCTTCAGCTATTAATACAAAAATATGATGTACAAATATCGATGTCTAATGAATACGTTGTATCAGTATTTGGTAAGATTGTGTTTAAATAGCTCAAAAAAGAGTAAAAAGTACGATTTTTCTTTTATTGCGACCGTTCAAAAATTTTATTTCTACATTTTTAAGTATATTTTTCTTTATGTGGAAACCGAAAATTATCATAATAATAACGTTACACTTAAGAAAAATTAGTATATTGTGAAATAAAGTTAATAAAATAATCCTTATTCACATTGTTATAAAATCGTTGTCATTTATGCTCAATCGCTTAAAAATTAATTTAGAGTTAAATCAACATTTTCCCTTAAGTCTAATATTATTATTACGGTATGGGGAAATCGATAATTTTCGATTTCTATGAAAAAAAGTATATAAAAAAATATAGAAATAAAACGATCCCCAAATGATCATGAAAAAGTTATTCTCCTTTTTCTCTGTTGTTTTCCATTCTCAGTGCATGAGTTATAGACAAATTTATAACATAATATTGTGCTAGTAGTTTGAAATATCGTGACATGTCAGATTTATAAAATAGAGTTTATTATTTATTTGTTATTTTTCCGACGTAGAAGAATTAATTGAGTCCGATATTTAAAATAGTGAGAACTATTGTATGCAGATTTTCGTCAATTTTTAACCCTTAAAAATTAGTTAAATATAGCGATAAGTCAAAAATGGAAGGAGCCATACAATTCATATAATATCTTTCCTACTCAATATTTTTCAATTAAAAAATCTAAACTATTTAAATTCTTTTTATAAAAAAAATTCTTAAATAAAAGGTTTCGTAAATTAATAAAATTAATTTACAGA